AGAGCTTGGGGGGGGGGCTGATTTCTGTGCGAGGCGTTTGGCTCTCAGCTCCCTTTCCACGCCAGTTGCCCCGGCGTTCGTCAGTGCTCCCACCCCCGCACCGGCCCTGGCAGGCGCTGTGATCGTCCCCGCCGCCGGAGCCGCTCTCACCGCACCTGGTTCCACAATTACATTTCTCGTGTTTACTCCTGCTCCCGGCGCCGCCTCCAAAGTGTCATTTTCCGTTGGTGCCTCCTGAGCGCTGTGTCTGGTCCAGGGGCTGTTGTGCGTCTGGGCTTCGTTTGCTGGCGCAGCGACTGAGCTGGCAATGAAATCAGCAGACAAGGATCGTGGCAAATGTTTTCCAAGCTCCTGGTCCTCCAACGCACGTGTGCACACACGTACGCCCTCCCACACGCACCCCCTTGTGCACACACACGCACACCCCCTTGTGCACACACACGTGCACCCTCACACGTACGCCCTCCCACACGCACCCCCTTGTGCACACACGTACACCCTCACACATACACCCTCCCATGCACGCACACCCCCCTCGTGCACACACGTACACCCTCCCACGCACACCCCCTCGTGCACACATGCACACCCCCTTGTGCACACACACGTACACCCTCACACGTGCACCCTCCCATGCATGCTCACACCCCCTCGTGCACACACGTACACCCTCCCACGCACACCCCCTTGTGCACACACTCCCGATGCACGTGCACACACACACACCCATACACAGGCACGTGCACACCCTTGCACCCGTATACCCCCAGTGCATGTGCGTGCACACTCCCACACACACACTCTCTCTCTCTCTCTCTCTCTCTCTCTCCCCCTGGCCAAGCCAGCTCACGTGTCCCAGCGCTGGGCCCCAGAGGGGGCTGAGCATGGGCCCAGCCGGAGAAGAGACCCACCCTCCAGGGGCTGGACTTGCTTCCGTCCAGGCTGTGGCCTCGTGGCTCTTTCTGAGCGCCGGCCCGGGACACTGCGGAGGAGAGGCGGATTGTGAGCAGGCTGGTGGGGGGCTCTGGCCTGGGGCAGGCTCCCCCGATGGGAACCCCAGTCCAACGCCGGCTCTTGCTCTGCACCGTCCAGCAGAGGCGTTGGCGGCCGAGCGCTGGCTCTCTGCACAGAGCTCTGCCCGGCCGAGGGCGGCCCTGCCTAGGTCAGACGTGGAGTGAGAAGAGCGAGGCCAGGGCTCCATGTCAAGCGGTGGAAGTTGGGATCTGGGGAAGGGCTCGTCTGTCTACACAGCAATGAGCCTGCCTCACGTGCTGTCTGCCCGCCGTGGGCTGCGGCTCATGCTGTGGGGCTCGGCAGGGCACGTTCGGGCTCCGAAAGCAGCCAAGGGCAGGAAGCGCGACCAGGCCACTCGCAGCCCAAAGCAGGAGACTTGCCGTTCCAGGTTTGCACTGCAGAGGCACCGGGCATTGGCGCCTGCATGGCCGTGGCCAGGCGACTCGGCCTGTGCCCGGTTTTGGCCTTTTACCCCAGAGCACAGGACCCATTCCGCTCTGCTCGCCGCCCCGCACCCCCTCGCCACTGGAGAGCAACTCCCTGGGACGGGCCTGCCTAGACACCCGGCCTCCGAACCCCGCCCCCTGCCTCAGCCCCCTGCCAGCCCCCAGCGGGATGCGGAAGGACCATCGCGCCCAGAAGGCGGAGTCGCCGCTTGAGGGACTCCCCCGGGAGAGGCTCTTTGAGAAATGCGGCCCACCCGTACTCCACACTCGCCTGCCTTCCCCTCTGACCCCTCGCGCTCCCAGGGAGAAGGACCTGACGGCGCGGTTGGCCGCCCCGCCCTTTCTCGCCTCATCTGGAAGCACGAGGTGAGCCAGGCCACAGGCACCGACCCATGTGGGCTACGGCCAAACCTCTCCGCAGCAGGGCCGAGGGTGAGCGGGGTAAGGACCATGCACCTCAGACAGCCTCCAGCTGCAGGTAAGTAACCTCCTCTGAGCTCTCTTCTAACACTGGTTTCCCTTCGCCCGCATTTCCTGCGTTTCCGTCGGTAAATACACTCGGCTGCTGTTTAAAGAAGAGAACAAGCAAAACGCAAATCCAGCCCAACACTGCCCCTGCTCACGAGACGTTTGAATGTTCTGTCCCCATGTTGCATGGTGGCGTCGGGGAGAATAGGTCTGACGGGTCACGTGATTAGCGCGTGTAGCACCGAAACCAGGCCACTGGCAGAGTGCTTACGTGACCTAGCGCAGCGTTTGCCAGACGGGCGCTGGCTTGGCCAAGGGGCCCAGGGGAGCATCCGGGTGTCTCGCTGGCAGTGGATTCAAAACGTGCCACCTGCTAGGCCCTGCCCCAAATGATGATTGACAGTTCCTGAGCCGCCCATTTGTTCTAGCCTCGCTATTCTTCCTGCTGGCTGGGCGCGCTGCTTCGACCCTGCGATCTCACCGCATTCTGCAGCGAGAGGGTCCAGCTTGGCCAAGGGGCCCAGGGGAGCATCCGGGTGTCTCGCTGGCAGTGGATTCAAAACGTGCCACCTGCTAGGCCCTGCCCCAAATGATGATTGACAGTTCCTGAGCCGCCCATTTGTTCTAGCCTCGCTATTCTTCCTGCTGGCTGGGCGCGCTGCTTCGACCCTGCGATCTCACCGCATTCTGCAGCGAGAGGGTCCAGCGTCGAAACGGGCTAACGCAGCCGACGGGTCTTCAGCCGATGCCAGCACGGCTCAGCCGCGGCTCCC